AGCCCTGCCTGTTTTAAGCCCTTTAAAGTTTTCCATTGCTCTTAGGATAAAGTTAAGCTCTTTAGGGTTACCCATGAGACCCCGCATGGCCTGGCCCGCCTGTCTTCTCTCCCTCAGTGTTCCTCAAGCCTCTCCATTGGCTCCTGTGACCCAGCCTTCTCCCAGGTCCCTGAACAAGCCATGCCTCCTCCAGCCCTTGCTCATGCTGCTTTCTCTTTCACAAGCCTGCCTACTTTCTGTCTGATGAGCTTCTCCTTATCCATCAGAAGGCAGCTCCACCACCACACTCTCAGGGAAGCCCTTCCTGATCCCCACATGAGCTCAGAGGATGCTCTGAGAGGCAGCGAAGTGTCCAGCCTGAAAGCAGGGAATGCAGTGGTTAGACACACAGACCCTGGAGTCAGACTACCTGGGTTCACAAACCTTGAACAAATGACTTAACCTCTCTGTATAATAATTTAGCCTCTGTATAATGGACATGATTAAAGTGAGCACTTCATAGAGTTGTAATAAGAACTAATGAGTTAGTATATGTATGGTGCTGAAAACAGTCCCCAGCATACACTAAGCTCTCAATGGACATTGACATCAGTTATCCACATGTGACATTAGCCTGTCACATGCCTCATGGTGCCATATGCCTTTCTTTCATAGCACTTTATCCCGATTGTGTTAGGATCTGAGGACATCCATCTCCCTCATGAGAAGGTAAGCTCTATAAAGACATGGACCAGGCCTGTTTTTGTACCCCTTATGTCTCCCATGCCCAGCCCAGACCCTAACAGGCACTTAGTCCATATTTGTTCACTGGACTCGCAGTTAGTCAAGAGCAAAGCATCTTCCAACTCCAGACTGTGGAGCCTTTTCCCAATACTTGGTCCACTTTCTGCCAAAGCTGGCCAGCTATAACTAGCAGGCCAAATCCGACCTACCAACTGATTTTGTAAATAAAGTTTTATTAGCACACAACCACACTCATTTGTTTACATATCGTCTATGGCTGTTTGTGTGCTACAACGGCAAAGTTGAGAACTTGCAACTGAGACCATATGGCCACCAAAGTCAAAAATATTTGCTGTCTTTCCCTTTACAGAATGCGTTTGCCAATGTCTGCTTTAGGCATTTATAATCTCCTCTAAGCCAGCCAAAGCCCATAGCTTCATGAAGTTGATGTGAGGTTTACAAGGCACTTAGAATAAGGCCTGACACAGGGAAGGGGCTCTGTAAGTGTTAGCAGTATTGTGAGGTACCATCTGCTTACTCCTAGGAGACTAATAAATAATAAACATTTGTTCATTGAAGAAATCAGATATTTTCTGCATCCTGTGATCGATTTTGGCACCAAGACCATGCCAGGCTTTGTGGGAAGTCAAGACAATTTATTGGGAAATTTCTGTACTGAAGTGAGGGAAGCAACCTCAGAAATAATAAAAATTGCTGCCTTTTACTGTACACTTACTAGCGTGAGACACAGTAGATATTACCCACTTTAATTCTTATAACAGTGCTTCTCAAACTTTCTTGTGCATACCGGTATGGTTTGTGGGGATCTCACTAAAATGTAGCTTCTGACTCCGAGGTCCCAGGTAGGCCCTGAGGGTCTGCATTTCTAACAAGCTCCCCAGTGATGCCAATTGCTGTAGTCCTCTGACTGCCCTTGGAGCAGCAAGGCCTTACAATGTTTCTGTGAGTTGGGTATTATTATTACTATTCCCATTTTACAGGAGAGGCAAACTGAGGCTTAGAACAGTAAAGACTCTTGCCCGATTAATAAGTGACAAAGCCAAGATGCAAAGTCAGGTGCGACTAACTCCAAGCTCTCATTCAGTCTGTGACGTTGCCCAGCCAGAAAGACCCCCAGGAGACTTCTCCAATGCAGGAGTGCCCACTTGCTGCTAAACCTAAGCTTCCTTCCCAGCCTGGATCCGGGTCCTGCAGAGTCTAGTCAGCCTAGGCATAGTGCGGTTTACTGGCTGCATCACTGCTGCCTTCTTTCTGGGCAAAGAGGCCTCTTCTGCGAGAGGCTGGTGTTTAGGTTGGCTCTGCTGTGTGTATTCCCCGCTGGTCGCCATTATTTAGAGTACATCATAAGCCGCTTCGGTACCTTCTGAAGCAGTTCTGTTTCTTTCATGTTGTTCTTCACCAGCTGCAACCAGCAGCCCTGTCTCTCCTGTTGCCTCCCTCCATCCTGTCCACACTCACCTGGGTGCTCGCAGCACACACATGTGCACACACACATGCACGCACACACACAGCAGCCCAGGCCCCTCCGCAGTCGAAGCTCCCTCCCTCTGCCAGCAAGAAGGCTAAGCTGGGGCATCCGGGTTCCCACAGAAGACGGGGCTGACCTGGAAACATCAGGCCCTGGGCCACTGTGAGCCATGTGCTCGGAGGGTGCAGTCGGGCCCACTCTCTTGGAGGAGGAAGCCAGGGCCTTTCCTCTGCCCTGCTCCTCTGAGCAGCCCTGCTGACTCCCAGGAGCCACGGCAGCTCTTCTTTCTCTCTTTATGCCATCATTCCCCTTTCCTGGTGGCCTAGGACATGTCTACACGGAGCAGGCAGAGCCATTAGAAATCATCTAACAGCCCTCACCCACGTTACAATGGGAAAACCAGAGCAGGTGAGGCACCAACCTTAGCCACACAGCAAGCGAGTGGCACAGCTGGGACTCAAACTCGACTCTCCAGGACATATGGCACCCTGCCCAGGCTCCTGGGAAGACATATAAGGAGACTACAGGGTGGTCCAAGAGTTGGACTAGTCTGGATTTGAATCCTGGCTCACTAGCAGGGTGGTTAGTTATAAGTATATAACTTCGAACCTCAGTTTTTGTATCTGTAAATTGGAGCAAAAACACACCCTGCAGGTGTAGGATGGAACTGTACATATTAGTACCCACTCAAGACCCAACACAGAGTGGGTGCTTAGCAAACATCATTACTCTTCTCCTGGAACCTCGACAAGTTCTTAACATCCCTTATAAAGGTGTTTATAAAGGTGAGAGTTCTGGTGGCTTTTTTTTTTTTTTTTTGGAGAGACAAGGTTCTGGCTATGTTGCCCAGACTGGTCTCCAACTCTTGGGCTCAAGCAATCCTCCCACCTCAGCGTCCTAAAGTGCTGGGATTACAGGCGTGAGCCAGGGCACCCAGCCTCAGGTGACTTTTGGTTGTGCGTGTCTGTGCATGGGTGTGGGTGTGTGTGGGTGTGTGTGTGTGTGGGTTGGGGATCAGGAAAGACATCCCCCTCGGGCCCGGAGAGGAAGCAGCTCCATCCCTTCCCGGGAGCAGGAGGGTACTGAAACTGCAGAGTAGCCCGGCCGCCCCAAACCCTCATTCCCTGGCCCTTGCTTACCCCCATGCAGCCCAGTTTTGCCTTACTTGTGCCCTCCCAGATACAGAGCCCCGACCTTCTTCAAATTCCCCCCAAATAACCCACTCATCCAGTCGTATTTGTGAGCAGTATAGACTTTACTGCAGATCTATGGGGGACAGAGGAAGGGTTTTCACATCACACATGTCCCAGTCAACTGCCTAAAATCCTCTTAGAAAAAATGCTAAAGCTCTATCTAGAAAATGTCTCCTCTACAGATCCTTCCTGGCCACACTGCCACCCAAGGGAGCAGGGACAGGGATAGGAGGAGGCCCCCCTGGGCTCAGCCAAAGGGCCCTGTGGCTATCAGAACTCTACTTCTATGAAGCCACTTAAGCAAGCAAAACATTGAAAGAAGACATGTTTTCCCCTGTTCTAGCCGCAGGGCGGCTCTGCCCTCTGCCTGGCCCACAACTCCCAGGACAGAGAGTCCAGGGCCTGAGGTCACTTGCTGCCTACTTGAATTTTTATAGAAAAAAATATTTGTCTTTGCAGAGACACTTTTTGGAGAACCCCACACCTCTGAATCCTCATTCGGGCACGGCACCCCACAAACACGCTGTCACACCCCAAGCACCGCCCCCCTCTGCCCTCTTGTGCCCCTCGGCCCGGCCCCCTCACACACAATAGCCTTGGCCCTCACCCTCTATCTGCTTCTCCCTTTTCATTTCAATACACCGTTTTCTCCTTATCCTGAGGTTTTTGTTCTTACTTTCTCTTTTCTCTGCTTCTTCCTCTTTGTGGACCACCTCACCACATTTATTCACTCGACAAGCTTGCATTGGCAGCCCACTGCATCCTTAGAGAAAATAAAGAGAAGAGACGACTAAAAAACAAAAAGCCGCAGTCCTTACCTCATGACCCATGTTTCATGGTGGATGCATACGTATCAACAAATACTTATAATAACTATCATTTATTGCATGATGCTATACATGCCCCAGAAACTTGCCGATGTGCATTACTTGAGTTAACTCATCTCATCCTCACAACAATCTTAGGAGGCAGGCACTATAACCATCCCTGCTTTACAGAGGAGGAAACTGAGGCACAGAGAGGTGAGATGAGCTTCCCAAGCTTACACAGTTAATAAGTCTAGAGTCAGATTCAAACCCAAGCCGTGTGGTTCTCTACCTAACCGCTATACCACTACCCCAAAGTGCAGAGGAGGAGAGGCTTCACAGAGGAGGGGACTGTGAGCCGGATTTTGATGGATGAAGAGAAGTGTGCTGAGTGAAGAACAGGAGAGACATTCCTGGAAGAAAGCTCAGTATGTCAAAGATCAGCAGCATGGAAGGACACAGCATGGGAAGGTTGCTGTGGTAGGAAATGAGGGAACAGGATGACCAGGAGACATGGGACTAGGGATGGGCAGAAGCCAAGTCACACAAGGCGCTGTGCACCTGCTGTGGTGCTGGGATTTGGTCTTGGAGGCAGTGGGGAACCTCTGGAGGGCTGTCAGCTGGCCAGCGTCGTGCGTCTTGCTCGCTCTCCCCCTGCCTCATATTACGAAGCCACCTCAACTCCTGGCCCCTAGGGACTGCTCTCCTGCCTCCTGCACACCCCCACCCCACATCCCTCAGTCTCACAGTCACGTGTTTTTTTTCTCCCTGACCCTCCATGTTCCACAGGGGCCGTGAGGGCCTCGAGTATTTTTCCGATCCTGAGTGTGATTCTGCTTTTCATGGGTGGACTCTGCATCGCAGCCAGCGAGTTCTATAAGACGCGACACAACATCATCCTGAGTGCCGGCATCTTCTTCGTGTCTGCAGGTAATGGTCGCCATGTCTAGGTCTGCCAGAGGGGAGAGGACTGGGGTCTGGGTGTTTGGGGCTAGGAGGACCTGGTGGAGAGAGAAAAGGAAGGAGAGGAGGACCCTCCAGGTCATGGTGCAGGAAGGTTCCACGGAGCTCCTGCCTGTAACAACTCCTGGACCCCCACCAAGTCCTCCAGGGGCATCCCAGACCCCAACCCTTGGCCCAGCAGCTCACCTTCCTACCATCACTTGAAAAAAGGGTCAAAAACCCAGGTTCCGCCCAGGGTTCTGGACCTATTCCCATTGCCCCCTGCCCTCCCAGGACAAGCAAACCAATGAGAAGCTGGCGAGGGGGACAACCAAGTTGCCTCACCATTCCTGGAATGCCCTCAAGATGCCCATCTACCCCAGATACTGCGGGAGGACGCTCCCTCACCATCCTACCCAGGTGGCAGCAGGCAGGCATCCACGACCAGATTTCTGAGCCTGGTTACGTGACAGATGAGTCACACTCACTTCAGATGCCAGAAAAAGAACCCAGGCATAGCATGAGCCATTTAGTAAGAATGACCAGCATCTGGGGAGCACTCACCACATCCCAGAAGCTAACATGCATCTGCCCATTTAACCCTCTCCCTGGCCCTGCAGGAGTAAGACCTATCGTCATCCCCAGTTTACAGATCTGGGAACTCAGACAAAGGTTAACTTGCCAAGGCTTTGAGCCCAGGCAGCCTGGCTGCAGGAGCCAGTCTTCACCCCCTGCTACACCAGCTTCTAATCCCTTTGCGGCCTTGAGCAAGTTACATCTCTGTGCTTGTTTCTGCATCTGTGACCTGCTTTTAAAGCACTAGGCAGTGAAGGCAGGTAGAACATGCTCAACAAACAATATCTATTATTGTTATTACTCCAAACATCACAGAATGCCTCCCTCCTCTCCCCCCTTCCGCGGCCTCAGTGTCCACGGGTTTTCCCTTGTGGCTCTCTCTGAATGGAATGATAAAAGGGTAAGGGGACGCTTGCCAACGTCCTCTGTACCAGCCTGCCTATTCCTCATGGAAACACAGGAGCGGGCAAAGCCCACCCAGCTGTCCCTGTCCCTTAATCCTGCCCAGTGGCGGACGCCTCCCGAGAAACTAACCGTCCTTCCCTCCGACCCCCGCCCCACCCCCTGTGCCCGCAGGTCTGAGTAACATCATTGGCATCATAGTGTACATATCTGCCAATGCCGGAGACCCCTCCAAGAGCGACTCCAAAAAGAACAGCTACTCGTACGGCTGGTCCTTCTACTTCGGGGCACTGTCCTTCATCATCGCCGAGATGGTCGGGGTGCTGGCCGTGCACATGTTTATCGACCGGCACAAACAGCTGCGGGCCACGGCCCGTGCCACGGACTACCTCCAGGCCTCCGCCATCACCCGCATCCCCAGCTACCGCTACCGCTACCAGCGCCGCAGCCGCTCCAGCTCGCGCTCCACCGAGCCCTCTCACTCCAGGGACGCCTCCCCCGTGGGCATCAAGGGCTTCAACACCCTGCCGTCCACGGAGATCTCCATGTACACCCTCAGCAGGGACCCCCTGAAGGCCGCCACCACGCCCACCGCCACCTACAACTCCGACAGGGATAACAGCTTCCTCCAAGTTCACAACTGTATCCAGAAGGAGAACAAGGACTCTCTCCACTCCAACACAGCCAA